GAAGGGGTATGTTTACATGAAATGTAATTTCTTTGAGAAACACATAACTGGTGGCGTTAAGAGATTGAAGGATCATCTAGCCTGCACTGATGTCAATGTGGGACCATGTGCAAAAGTTCCTGATGAGGTAAAAAAGGAATGTACAAATTATTTAAAGAAGTTTGCCACCACAAAGGAAGTCACACAAAGAAATATGGAAGAGATGATAGGAAACTCTTCTTACTATGGATCACAGCATAAAGGTTTCAGTACTGGAAGCCATTTAGTTTCTTCTAACCGAGGCAGTCGGGGGCCCATGGATAGATTTATGCTAAATATTGATAACAAGGAAAATATAAATACTCAGGATATTCAGCCTCCTACAGCTATAAAAAAACTCAGGAACAGAGTTTGTTTGGATATCACCAGATTCATCTATGAAAATGGGATTCCATTTAATGCTGTTAGGAGTCCGTCGTGAATCAATATATTACGATATGTTGAAAGCTATGGAAGAGGATTACAACTTCCAAGCATGTATGAGCTGAGAATTTGGATGCTGAACGAGGAGGTTAAGACAACTTCAAAAATGGTGGATGATGTTAAGAAGACTTGGATTGAGGCGGGAGTGACAATAATGTCAGATGGTTGGTCAGATATTCGACATAGAAGTATTATTAATTTCTTGGTCAACAATCCATATGGAACAGTTTTTCTCAAATCAGTAGATACTTCAAGCTTTGTAAAGGATGCATAATTATTTTTTGAAATGTTGGATGAAGTTGTGGAGGTAGTCGGAGATGTCTTAGTAGTACAGGTTACTGATAATGCAAGTGCATACAAAGCTGCAGGAAGAATGTTAATGGAGAAGAGGCCTCACCTTTATTGGACTCCTTGTGCTGCACATTGTATTCACTTGATGCTTGAGAGGTTGGGATAGTTGCCTCAACACAAATCAGCCATATTGAAGGCCAAATTCGTTAGTAAGTTTATATACAATCATTCTTGGGTACTCAGCTTGATGAGAAAATTCACTGACAAGGAAATTATTAGACCTGCTGTTATAAGATTTGCTACTGCATATTTGACATTGCAGAGATTCAAGGAGTTAAGACAACCTTTGGAAGCAATGTTTGCTTCTGAAGAGTGGGATAAAAGTTCATAGGCCAAAAAACAAGAAGGAAAACAAGTTAAAAAGATTGTTATAAAAGATGATTCATTTTGGCGCAGTACAAATTATGCTTTGAAGACAACATGACCATTAGTAAAGGTGCTTAGAATGGTTGATGGTGAGAGGGCCCCGACTATGAGATTTATTTATGAAGCAATGAATAGGGCTAAAGAAGACATTGCAAAAGAATTGGGAGGTCAAGAAAGTGCCTACAAAGAAATATGGAATATTATAGATGAAAAGTGGGATTGACAATTACACCAACACTTACATGCTGCTGCGTACTATTTAAATCCCCAATTTCATTATGATAAGGATTTTCATGTTGACAAAGAGGTGAAAACTGGTTTGTATGCATATATGGACATAAGTGATGATGAGCCTGCTTTGGGTCTTGATTCTAAGGGGATGTTTTATTTTTAAGTGAGTTTATTTTAAATCTTGTATTCTAGTAATATTATCTTAAAACAAATCTTCAAATTCATAGTTGACATAATATTTTGTTATTTTTTGTCATTATTTATAATTTTAAATTAATTTATTTTAAAAGTTTTGAGGCTTACGCCTCGATCCGCCTCGCCTCGCTTAGAAAAAATGTCTTGATTCCCGATTTCGCCTTTTAAAATCTTGCTCCTAATCTCCTACTATCTCTCTAATATATTTCATACTCAATCATTCTTAATTTTACCATACATTCTATCTAACAATCGTATTTTTGATCCACTAAAATTTTTTTAGTGACTTGTTTGTTGTTAAATACTCAAATCCATATTACATAACCTATTTAATTGTCTAACTTTATGGAATTTACTTATAACTTTAAGTTTTCTTTTATGACATCATATAAATTTAAAAACATGAATTAACTCAAGAAGTTGAGGCATGGGAGTACTAAATCTCCATTCTTTTGTAGAATATATGAAATGTACTTAATATGAGAATAAAGATGAGGTGATAACTTTTAAATTTAACTTGGGTAGTTAAAATGAAGCGTAATGACTATTATTTGATAAGTGAATATCGTAGAACATAACTATAGTAAACCATATGAAAGATTTTGAGATGGGATATGGCTTGCAATAAATGAAGAACTCGTAATAGAAAGAAAATAGTTACCATAGTGAAATGTTCCAGCTCAAAAATGGGGACACAAAGTAGGGAATGGGGCGTTGGTGTAATCTAATTTTAAAGATGAGAGATTTAGCACTTGTAATATTTAAATCGAGTGGATTCCAAAATTTGATTGAGAATAAAATGACTTTCAACATTCTTCGTGTAGAACTCAAGCAATACTATTTTTTGAGCTCTGATTAATAACAATTTTCTAATGCTTAGTGGAAAAAAACATGAAGCAAAAGACCTCTTAGGTTTTAAAGCATAAAATTGCTAAGAATGTTAGCTAAACTGTAGGCTTGTAAATGAGCTGATTTAAATTGAACATTTTTATGTTCAAGAATAGTTATTTGTTTTCTTGCTATACTAAATTTAAAGTGTGAGCATAAGCTGAGTGCTACAATCATGTTCAAATTTGCTTATTTAATCTTTTTATCTAGCTCAAGTTCTATTCGAACTTTAATAAGGCCAATAAACTATTTCTGAGGTGCAAATATTTAACTAAAGACTTCTTTGTCTGACACAAACATATACATATTATTCATAATAAATTCACTTAATTTTATTTAATAAATTTTCCAATGTTTTGACATTCAAATATTAATAAAAAATGAAATTAAATTAAATCAAATAATAGTTGATTATTATGTGTATTTTTTATTGTTGTATTTATATTAAGATGATCCACTAAAAATATATAGGGCATATATAAGTTTAATACAAAAATATAAATGAAAATTTAAATAATCTAATAAACAATTATTAAATGAGTACTTTATAGAGTTATTAGCTTGCCACTTGTTAAACAAGTATGGTCCTATTCAAAATTGTCCAAGTAGATTTATAGCGTTAAAAATTATGGTCAAGCTTGTTTAAACCAATTATAAATTAAGGTTATTTATAAAAAAATACATTAAATTAAGAAAAAAGTGATTGTCAAATTGCTTGAGATTAAATGTACTCTCCCTTGAGGTTTGTTACATGTGCAAAGGTGTTTGCAAGTCACAAGGTACTTGCCGTTTAACTTGGAATACTCTAGCTTGTTCAAATCAATGTTAAATTAACATTATTTAAAATCAAAACCATAAATTAAGAAAAGGGATAGTTAAATTGCCTGAGATTAAATGTACTCTAGCTTGAGGTTTGTTACACGTGCAAAGGTGTTTACAAGTCACAAGGTACTTGCTGTTTAACTTGGAATATTAGGGGATGCATAAGGAGCTTCTCTGGTGGCTCATTGAAATGATGTCGTCTGTGTTAACATGCCTGATTATTGTAAAAAAGTCTTTAATATTTGTGGTCTTGACATGTTTTAATGTGGCTGATGTGAAGTTTTAACCTGATTCTGTGCTAGTACTGTTAAATGTCATGATTAAGAATGAGAGAGGTTGTATTTAAGGTCTTTTTAATTGCTTGTCTCAATTTGCGATCTTTCTGGTAAATGTAAACACCTACTGTTCCGGTGTTTTGGATTTTACCCTCATTCATTGCCATGGACATCTACAACAACAACATCAAGCTTTTATCCTATTAGGTGGGGTTGGCTACATGAATTTTTTTCTCCATTGTCTTATTAATAATCAAATTATCTTTTAAATCTAATAAAAAAGGCCATTTCTAATATTTTCTAACCAGGTCTTTTTAGGTCTACCTATACCTTTCTTAACATTGGCCAAATTCAATACATCTTCTCTCCTAACTAGTTCATTGGATGACCGGCATTTTATGTGACCAAACCATCTAAGGATACTTTCTCTAATCTTATTTGCCACTGGAGCTACTCCAATCTTTTCACATATATGCTTGTTTCGCATTCTATCTCTAAGAGTAAAGCCACTCATTCATAGGGTTGCAAGCAAACCAAACGTTCGATGAGCTACTCGTTGCTCGGTTCAATTAAAGCTCATTTGTGATTGTTTAACTAACTAAACAAACAAACTTGAACAACATTTTTAATACTTGATCTTTAAATAAATAAGCTTGAACACAAATGTGTTCGGTTCATTTATGTTCACGAACAACATCATTTGAAGCTCATGAACAAGCACGATAAGAAGCTCAATTCGTGAATAAGTTCGATAAATAGATTCATATAGATTAATCATATTTTTATTTTAAATAGATAAATAGGAAAATACTAGGTCAAACCATCTTGTGTTTGAATATATGTAACAGCTCCTGCATATATATCCTTAATGACTTGAGTATAGGTATTATTAACCCTTTTCTTTTCTAAAACTTTTCATAGCACTTCATTTGGAATTTTATCATAAGCTTTCTCTAAATCAATAAATATCATATGTAGATCCTCTTTATTCTCTCTATACTTCTCCAACAAACCTCTAAATACATTAATAACAACCAAATAATAAAAAAAACGCTGATAAAAAACTAGAAAACATCTTTTGCAGATAATCCTAGGCCAGCCTACTGTGCAATATTCCTCAGCATAAATGTACTTGATTCCCGGCTTCCACACTAGTTCAACATTAAGCTTTTTTTTTTTCCCAAGGATTGAAATGCCATCATATTCATCTACTTCTTTTCTGGTTAGGTCTTAGTTCATCTTAATTATTTCGCTGGTTTTAATAAATGACATTATAAAACTAGTTATATACTAAGGACTATTAATGAATGAATAATTAACTAGGAGTCGTCAATATTGGAAAATTGCACTTTTATTGGCTTAGATGTTTTGATGATATTTCATGGTATGTATTCCAATCATCATCACCAGGGTGTTTTTAGTGTCATGGGCCTATGAGAGTACTGAGCAATATAAAATGGAAAAGAAAAAAAATGGTATAATATAAAGAGGAAAGAACATGGGGCCATAAATTCAATCAAAAGCTATATATATATATAGGTCGCATGTACACCATCTTATAGAATTTTCCCTCAAGTTGGTACATTTCTATCACATAACAAGCCCGATGCATTCCTCCACATCAACCATCCAACTTGAATTCTGCTGATAATATCCCCATCTATTTCACCATCACTCTGAACAATATATCATAGATATCTAAAACGTGTACTCTTATTAATGACTTGATCGCCCAAAGTCACAATCCCCTCACTAGGTCTATTACTACTAAAATTACACTCTACATTTTGTTTTAGATCTACTCAACCGAAAACTTTTAGACTCTGAGGTTGACCTCCATAATTCAAGTTTACCTTTAACTCCCTCTCTAGTCTTTTCAACAAGAAGAATATCATCAGCAAAAAGCATACACCAAGGTACATCCTATTGCAAAGGTCTAGTTAGAACATCCAATGACAAAAGCAAAAAGATATGGGCTTAAGGCTGATCCTTGATGTAACCCAACCGAAATAGGGGAATACTTAGTCAAATCACCTTGTGTTTGAACACAAGTAATTGCTCCTGCATACATATCTTTAATTATTTGAATATAAGTGGTATTAACTCATTTTCTTTCAAGAACTCTCCAAAGCACTTCTCTTGGAACTTTACATATGCTTTTTCTAAATCAAAAAAGTATCATATGTAGATCCTCTTTATTTGTCCATCAAACCTCTTAATAAACGTATGGCTTCCATAGTCGACCTACCCGACATGAATCTAAATTGATTTTGAGAAACATTAGTATCACACTGCAACCTATGGTCCATAACTCGCTCCCATAGTTTTAAAGTCTGACACATTAACTTAATTCCTCTATAATTCGAGCAATCTTGTGCATTACCTTTATTCTTAAAAATAGAAATTAACACACTCATTCTCCACTCATCTGTCATCTTTTGTCTTCAAAACAGTATTAAAAAGTTTAGTAAGCCAAGAAATTCCTTCATCTCCTAAGCTTTTCCACACCTCTGTTGGAATATCATATGGTCTAACAGCTTGTTCACCCTTCATTTTCTTTAAAGCCTCTTTAACTTCGGTTTTACTAATATGCCGATAGAAATAGAAATATTTATTTTCATTTAGGGTGCTAAGGTCACTACAATCAACCATATTTTCACATTATTCATTAAAAAGTTTAGCAAAATATCTCGTCCACCTTTATTGAATATCTTCTAAGAAAAGTATTTTTTGATCTTCATACTTAATACATTTCACTTGAACTAAATTCTTACTACTCATATCTCTTTGTTTGGCTAACTTATACATATATCTTTCTCCCTCCTTAGTATATAATCTATTATATAAATCACTAAATGCTAAGGTCCTTACATCAGATATTTCTTTCTTAGATTCTTTACGTATCTCTTTATATCTTTCCTAATTACCAGAGTTTTTATAATTAAACTAATTTTTATAGCAAATCTTTTTATTTTTAATCTTTTCTTGTACATTTGGATTCCACCACCAATTATTTTTACTATTAGGAGTTTTTCCCTTTGATACGCCAAGCATATCTTTTATAATATTTTTAATATCACTAGCCACTTTTTTTCACATAACATTAACATCCTTATGCAAGTACAAAATCTTACTCCCAAAAATATTTTTTTTTTAATATTCTTTAAATGCCCCCATCTAATCCTAGAATAACGTTTTGCTTTATTTTTTATTTTCTACTCCTTTATCTTAAAGTCCAAAACTAATAATCGATATTGAGTATATAAATTTTCACTCGGAATAATTTTACAATCTTTGTAATCTAAATGATCTAATTTTTTTTATAAGAAAAGAGTCAATCTGAGTTGTACTATTTCTATTTTTATAAGTGATGAGATGCTCATTCTTTTTCTTAAACAAGGTATTAGAAATTAAAAAATTATAAGCTAAATAAAAATCTAATATGGTCTTGTCACCTTCATTTATCATTCCAAACCCATTGCAACCATGATTGCTTTTAAAATCATCCGCCTATCTACGAGCATGTCCATTTAAATCTCCTTCAATAAGAACTCTTTCTTCAAGAGATATCTTTTGTATTAATTCTTCTAAGTCATTTCAAAAATTTAATTTTGAACTCATATCCAAATCTACTTGAGGAGCATAAGCACTTATAATATTAACAATCTTAGCATCAATAATAATCATTAAAGCTATAATTTTATCTCCATTTCTATACATTTTTATAATATTATCCTTCAAACTTTTATCTATAATCACACCTACACCATTTCTAGTATGACTCCTACCCGAACACCAAAGTTTAAAACCTAAACTATCAATCTCCTTAACTTCTCTCCAACCCATTTAGTTTCGTGAATGCATAAAATATTTAACTTCCTATTAATCATAATATATATTAATTCCATTAATTTTCCTATAAGGGAACCTATATTCCAAGTTCCTATCCTAATTTTAGTTTCATAGACTAGCTTCTTTGCCCACATTCGTCATTGGTGTGGGAATTCTTACCTATTTAACATTGCACCCGATTGCCGGTGCAGCGGCCCTTGCACACTTGTCACTGTATTCAACCATACATCGTGTTGCTTCCAGGGGATGCCCTAGCATTAACATAATTTCTTAAAGGATTCATATCATTATTATTCGACAAGTTTTATGCTGGTTGTCAACTACCTACGTAACCCTCCACTTTTCTCATTTAGGACTTGGGACCTGACAATGACAGTGTTATGATATGAAATATTAGTAAGATGTAAACAATTGTTATTTGGTTCTATTTTGAAATTATGATTTGTATAGATATCTTTAATAAATTAATATGTTAGAGTTTTTGAATATTGGAGAAACTATTACACGCATAGTCCAAATATAGCTCAACATCCAAACTCTAATAAAATCATGACACATGAATTGGACATGTAGATTTCATATTTTATTTTGTTCTTGCTAGCCCAACTGATTGGGCCAGCGGTGGTAGTTTTGACTTTTTGAAAAGGGCCTTCACTATACCGTTCAAATTTAGGGTTTAGTGTTAGTGCTCATTTTTAAGGAAAAAAATTTCAAGAGCTCCCAAATGTTTAGGATTTTAAAAAACGAGAAACATCCGATGAAGATTTGTTTGGAAGCGAACATTGAATTCTTCAAGCAGATGATATGCCCACAAGAAGTGGAGGCCGAAAGATGATATGCAAATGTCTATGAAGAATTGAAGTTGAAAAAATAACAGCTTGAAACAATGATAAGTTTAGAGAATGACGTAGAAGATATGTTGGTTGGAGGTGCTATTGTTTTCAACTTATCGATAAATTTTAAACTCATCCCAAGTTTGTAGGGTTTCCTGTAACAATACACTATGTACAAGATTGTAGACAGTCAATATGTATTGACTGTGTATGATTACCCCTTGATACAAAATGTGTATTAATAATCTACAAGATGTGTATTGAGTATGTACAAGCTTGTAGATAGTAAATGCACAGTCAATATATATTGACGGTGTCCCTTTTGGTGCAAGCTATGTATTGGTTGTCTACAAGTTGTGTATTGATTATTTATATATTTTGTATTGATTGTGTGCAAGCTTATAAACAATCAATACATAGTCAATATGTAATCGTGTCCCCTTTAGTATAAGCTGTGTACTGATTGTGTACAAACTATATATTAACTATGCATTGAATGTCTTTTATGTGTATTGATGTCTGGCTACTTATACACTTTGTGTATAAGCTATGTATTGATTGCTTATTGACTATGTATAAGCTATATATTGATTGTATTTTTATTATGTATTGATTGTGTATAAGTTATTTTTTTGACTGTGTATTGATTATGCACAAGTTATGTATTGATGTGTAACAACTTGTACTCACCTTATATAAGTTATGTACTGATGTGTATAAGCTGTGTATTGACTATTTATTTGACTATGTATTGATTGTGTATAAGCTGTATAGTGATTGTATAAGCTGTGCACTAAATGTGTATTTATAGTATATAAGTTATTTTTTGACTTTGTAATTATTATGTACCAGTTGTGTATTGACTGTTTATTAATTATAATTTGACAGTGTGTTGATTTTGTACAAGCTATATATTTGATTGTGTATTAAATGTGTATAAGATGTATACTGAATATGTATTGATGTGTGATAGCTTGTACACATCTTATACAAGTTGTGTATTGAATGTGTACAAGTTGTGTACTCATTTTTTATTGATCGTGTACAAGCTGTGTATTGATTGTGCATTTACGATGTACCAGTTGTATACTGGTTGTGTATTAACTATATTTTTACTTTATATTGACTATATTTTTACTGTATATTAATTATGTACAAGTTGTACAGACCTTGTACAAGTTTTGTATTGACTGTGTATTAACTATGTACAAGCTATGTACTAATTATATATTGAATGTGTATAATGTATTAAATGTGTATTTAATATATATCCACTATATATTTATTATATATTGACTGTGTATTTACTATGCCAGCTGTGAATTGACTGTATTTTTACTATGTACAGGCTATTAATTGATTGTGTATTGAGTGTATACAATTTGTGTAATGACTATTTATTGACAAGTTATGCATTGACTATATACTAGGGTGTGTACAAGTGTGAGAAGGAGTCATATGAGATATATTGCATGTATGCACATAATGCTAATTTTAGTGTTCCCAAGGAACATGATAGTTACTGGCTAAATTCAAGAAAGATAAGATGTAAGGACTTTGTCTATTCCAAAGCTAGTTTTAAAAAGGATATGGATTTGAATTTACAAATAAAATATTGAAGATCATATATAAGAACAAGTTTTCTAGCAATAATCGGGTATATAGTGGATGAAGATGAAAATATGAAGGCGCAAAAATTTATAGAGAGCCACAATCAGGATTTGCCTAAGCTTGAAGATAAACATCTACTTAGATCATGTAAGAAAA